TTTTCTTCCGATGTGCTCTTTCCACACAACACGCTCCATGGTAGTTTGTTCCTACGAATCCATCTCAATACCTGTATCATTTCTGTCCCGTATGCACACATCTGTATATCGTAGTAGAAAGGGCTTAGACATCTTCTATCCGTCTTTAATTCACATCATTCTCTAAGTGCATCTTTCACTGCAAGTGAATCTTTCATCTGATGACCTGCCCAGTTGTACCTGTGTACACAGTGTTACCACATTTACAAGTGCTTTAATCAAAGGAGGCACTTACCTATGCCAGACTGTACCGAACAAAACAGGCTTGGGTAGTCAGGAATTAAAGTCTTTGATTAGAACATATCTCAACGGCATTTTGTTTTGTTTTGAGAGTCTAAAGAAATATCCAACCCAAACACGAGCGATTTTGTGTGGGAATGAGATCTTAGATGTGTTGGGGATGTCTATGATAGTTTGTTTACCGAACATGCACATTTATTTGATCAGATGTTTTCCCTTTTTTTGTTTACGTTTATTGTGATGTGTTAGCATTGTTGTTTCTGCAATTTAATGTCCAAGTAAAAAGCTGAGTTTCTTTTCTGAAAGCAATCCTGCCTCCTTCAGCGAAACTCTCTCTCTTTCTCTCTCTCTCTCTCTCTCTCCCTCTCTCTCTCTCTTTCTCTCTTTGTCTGTCTCTGTCTGTCTCTCTCTCTCTCTCCACTAATTTTTCTATCACCCCGCTGAGAAACTGTGTGTGTCTTATTCATAATGTCTGCGCGTGTCTATGTGTGTATGTTGTATTGTGTATTTGTGTGTGTCTGTGTGTCTGTCTGCGTGTCTGTGTCTCTATGTGTTGTGTATATCTCTGTGTGTGTCTATGTGTGTGTGTATGTGTTTCTGTGTCTTTATGTCTCTGCCTGTGTGTGTGTATTCCTTTGTGTGTCACTGTGGTTGCATGCGTACGTGTGTGTCTGTGTGCGTCTGTGTGTGTGTGTTTGTACGGGTCTGGCTGTGTGGCTGCGCGTGTTACTTTCAGTGTGTGTGTTTATGAGAAAGTGTCTGTGTGTGTGTGACTGTGTGTGTATGAGTGTGTGAATACGTGAGCGTGCGTGTATGTAAGTATTTATGTATGTAATGATGTATGTGTATGATGGTGCTGATCTTGTCTCTCAGTTCTGGTAATCATATGTGTGTTCCATGTGGACGGGTTGCTCTCTAAACTCCCAGCATCATATCTCTCAAAGAGCATTAACAATGTCGGCGCCATCAATGTGACGGGCATCTACAGCTAAGGCTGGGCCAGCCAGTCTGTCAAACTTTCATTACCAACAACACCCTGGGAAGAAGGGGTGATACCACTCGCAGTGATTTCTCATGGCTCCACACATGTTTGTGTTCTCCACACATTTGTGAGTTCTTCACATATTTGTGAGTTCTCCACATATTTGTGAGTTCTCCACACATTTGTGTCTTCTCCACACATTTGTGTCTTCTCCACACATTTGTGTGTTCTCCACACATTTGTGTCTTCTCCACACATTTGTGTCTTCTCCACATATTTGTGTGTTCTCCACACATTTGTGAGTTCTCCACATATTTGTGAGTTCTCCACATATTTGTGAGTTCTCCACACATTTGTGTCTTCTCCACACATTTGTGTCTTCTCCACACATTTGTGTCTTCTCCACACATGTGTGTCTTCTCCACATATTTGTGAGTTCTCCACATATGTAATGAAATGTAGGCAGAAATAGGTTAAATGAACAAGCATACATTTTGTTTTTCAACAGCCACACACCTAAAAACACTATTCGCAACACAGTGCAAGATGAGACAACAGGGGCCTTGTTTTCGTAGGTGGTGCAGACCACACACACGGCGTACTAATCCATCACTGTGTGAAATGACAGAATGGGTGATTAGAAAGCCATGGCCTAGCCAGCTATGCAGAACACACCGCCATGACATCTGACAGTGAGGATGAAACATTCGACGAGTGCCCGTGAGCTGTGACCAACGGATGAGATACGTTCATTCAAACGTGACCACCAAAGACAGGTGACAGAGAAGTGATTAAGATGGTACGCCAGGAGGAGCGGGAAAGCACTATTGGAATAAAGTCAGAGCCAGGGTCTTGAGAAGTTTAGTTAGTCCCGGAACCGCTGGAGAGGACGGTTAGCCGAAACGCTTGAGAGGACAGTTAGGGCTAGACCGCTAGAGAACCGGTCAGGAGAAAACTAGTGCTGTACTTCGTGTAGAAGGTATATGTTAAACTTGGAGTTTAGCTAGAACAGTGAGTTAGTGACCGGCATTTGCAGCTAAGGCTGGACCACCGCTGGAGAGATTCAACTCCACAGTGTTTTGTCATGACTCCACACATTTGTGTGTTCTTATGTTTGTTTTCAGATAACTTAGTCCCGGAACCGCTGGAGAGGACGGTTAGCCCCGGAACCGCTTGAGAGGACAGTTAGGGCTAGACCGCTAGAGAAACCGGTCAGGAGAAAACTAGTGCTGTACTTCGTTAGAAGGTATATGTTAAACTTGGAGTTTAGCTAGAACAGTGAGTTAGTCCCGGAACCGCTGGAGAGGTTAGTTAGTCCCGGAACCGCTGGAGAGGACAGTTAGTCCCGGAACCGCTGGAGAGGACAGTTAGCCCCGGAACCGCTGGAGAAGACAGTTAGGGCTAGACCGCTAGAGAAACCGGTTAGGAGAAAACTAGTGCTTTACTTCGTTAGAAGGTATATATTAAACTTGGAGTTTAGCCATAACAGTGGTTTAAGGAACACATTAAATATAGAAGCATACGAATAGCCAGTAATAAGGAGTGTTCATATACTATTGCTTATTGAATTTATGAAGTCTGTGTGACGAGAATATTGTAAATAAACCAGCTCTTGTGTAATTGATTACATCACTGGCCTTGTTCTTGAGTACGATTGAAGAGAGCTACGAACTATATTCATTCTACTTGGCCGACTTAGGCACATCTATTTCTTGGGGGATGTATAGGCACGACTGTGCCACACATATTTGTGTCTTCTCCACACATTTGTGTCTTCTCCACACATTTATGTGTTCTCCACACATTTATGTGTTCTCCACACATTAAATATTGGTATTGTCTACACAGGAATGATTGTGCCAGCAAGTCCACGTGTGTACCAAAGAACAGAGCAGACAGAACACAACCCTGCTTCTTTGCAGCTCTGGCTGCGACCAAGAACGGAAACCATCATATGTGTGTATTATAAACTCGGAGCTGCAAATAGTCACCTATCGATTATTAACAAGTGACTTAATTAAGTGTCAATGATTAGTGTTTTACTGTGAAATGTGTCAATGATTATTATTTTACTGTGAAATGTGTCAATGGTTAGTGTTTTACTAGGAAATGTTTCAACGATTAGTGTTTTACTGGAAAAGGTGTCAATGATTAGTATTTTACTGTGAAATGCGTCAATGAATAGTTTTTTTACAGTGAAATGTGTCAATGATTATTGTTTTATTGGGAAATGTGTCAATGATTACCGTTTTACTGTGAAATGTGTCAATGATTAGTGTTTTACTGGGAAATGTGTCAATGATTAGTGTTTTACTGTGAAATGTGTCAATGATTAGTGTTTTGCTGTAAAATATGTAAATGATTAGGGGTTTACTGTAAAATGTGTCAATGATTAGTGTTTTACTGTAAAATATGTAAATGATTAGTGTTTTACTGGGAAATGTGTCAGTAATTAGTGTTTTACTGTGAAATGTGTCAATGATTAGTGTTTTACTGTAAAATATGTAAATGATTAGTGTTTTACTGTGAAATGTGTCAATGATTTGTGTTTTATTGGGAAATGTGTCAATGAATAGTTTTTTTACTGTGAAATGTGTCAATGATTAGTGTTTTACTGGGAAATGTGTTAATGGTTAGTGTTTTATTGGGAAATGTGTCAATGATTACCGTTTTACTGGGAAATATGTCAATGATTAGTGTTTTACTGTGAAATGTGTCAATGATTAGTGTTTTACTGTAAAATATGTAAATGATTAGTGTTTTACTGGGAAATGTGTCAATGATTAGTGTTTTATTGGGAAATGTGTCAATGAATAGTTTTTTACTGTGAAATGTGTCAATGATTAGTGTTTTATTGGGAAATGTGTCATTGATTACCGTTTTACTAGGAAATGTGTCAATGATTAGTGTTTTATTGGGAAATGTGTCAATGATTAGTGTTTTACTGTGAAATGTGTCAATGATTAGTGTTTTACTTGGAAATGTGTCAATAATTAGATAATTTTTATTGATTTACATAATCATATGTTACTCATCAAAGATGCAAACAGCGGGATATGGAGAGAAGCAACGACGAAACTCATAATCTGTTTAGATCACCAATGATCACTGGCATCATGAGCGCTAGTAGACTAAAATGGTTGGGGCATATTGAGAGATTGACAGATAACAGAGAAGTAAAACTGTATACGCAATGGAGCTGAATTGTTGTAGACCACGAGGCAGACCAAGAAAACATAGAAAGATAATGTTAAGAGAGGCCTGCAAACACTTGTTGTCACTAGATGGAAAGAGAAGGCCAACCACAGACATGAATGGAGGCGGGTGATATCTGCAGCAATGAACTTCAAGGGCTGGGAATGCTAAAGAAGAAAAGATAGACTACTGTCTTACATGGACACGTATCATTGATTACCCAAAACATATCACGAAATCAGTAATGACGTCTCACCTCCAAAAACGTCAACGCTCTATACATAAGATAATTAGTAAACAGATCGGTCGCATGTTCTTGTACAAGACTTTTCAGGACCAACCCCATCATTTGTTGGCTGTTCAAGATTTCAGTAGGCACCATCATTATCTGGCCATTGTCACCTGACGGTCGGCTGTGGACATCACAGTCGGGGTCTACACAAGACGGTTTCTAATCAATATTTTCGCTAATCACAGATGGATGAGACAGGCCATTGTTGATGCAAGATGCAACGCTTTTATTTTTAATGGAAAGATGTAAGACCTAACAGTCTCTCTGATGAATTTGTTGAGGATGCAATGCTTTCATTTTTAGTGGAAAGATGTAAGACCTAACAGTCTCTCTGATGGACTTGTTGCCGCAGTACAGAATCGGGTTGAGGGCGGAGTTCAGGTAACCTAGCCAGGTTAGGATCACGTATGGCCACATCGGCAGAGCATATTTTTGGTAACTTTGAAAGATGATGTAAATACTGAAAGGCATCCAACATAACGTGAAACACAGCACTACGCTGCCTATTGTTTTCACCGCTTTCATTTTGCCAAAACTGCTCCTGCTTCTCTTTGTTCTGTGGCCACCTACGCGACGAGAATAAGTAGCTTGGTAAGACAAGAGTGGCAATATTTGTGTAGTTTTAGCTTTCATAGCCAAGATGCAATCCACACTTGCAGACTTTTGAACTGCGAATTCTTTTGTTGTGTGTTTGTTCGACAGGTCAGTGACGGATTTTGAAGACCGGAAATGGAACTTTGCATCATCGCCATCATCCCGCATACCTGGTTGAAAAGATGCCATGTTGTAAATTGTGGATGTTGATAAACTTTTGCCGATTTTAACCTTATCTGAAATCAGAAACGAAGCTGGGATTGTCAAGAAATCTTGTTGTTGTCGCTGTCGTTGTTGTTGTTGTCGTTGTTGTTGTTGTTGTTGTTGTTGTTGTTGTTGTTGTTGTTGTTGTTGTTTCTGTCGTTGTTGTTGCTGTAGTTCTTGCTCCTCGAGGTAGCACTTGGTTAGGTCCGACTTGTCATAGAAAGTATGCACCTTGTTTAAGTACGCAGTTTGTGAGGACGAAGACTTGACGTATGACGTGATGTTGTTAAGTTGTCTGTCTGCCTCCTTTCCCGAAAAGTTCCCATTTATTTCATTCAACGAAGTCGTCGATGTTCTAGGTCGTCTTTGCCTCTTTGATAAGGAGTAGAAGTTTCGACGCAGACGCCAGAAAGAATTTCTGAAAGCTTTACTAGAGAATGTTTTTGAAACAAGCCAGACTTTGCGAGCGATGAGATAGTAGAGAACACAGACGGTCATCATAGGAATGTAGAAAGATATGACGGCCAAGGTCACCTGGTACGGCAGGTTGAAGATAATACTACAATAGGAGTTGATCTGGAAACAGATGACGATATCCTGGAATCCTTCAGTGTGCCAGTCGCTAAGGAAAGGAATCACACTCAGGGCAGCTGGCAGGCTCCAGCTGACCCCAATCATGGAATAACCAGTTTTGATGCTCAGTGTCCGGTAAGTGAATGGCTTGCAGACGGCCAGGTATCGATCCACGGCCATACAAGTGACATGGTAGATGGAAACAGTGCACAGAAACACATCAAACGATTGTTTGATGACACACAGGTTCTGCCCTAAGGCCCAGTGACCGGACATAAACAGTTCGTAGATGGCCAGAGGCATACTAAAGCAGCCGATAATGGCGTCAGACACTGCCATTGAAACGATTAACGATTTGACGATGCTAACGTTGACTGCACACCCGTGGCCTACATTCTGTAAGTGGGATAGCATGAGAGAAACGATGATCACTCCATTAGCAGCAACTGTGAACGCAGACAATGGGATAAAGAGTAAAGCTGCTGCCAGGTGGGTCGTTGTGCCTGTCGATGTGAAGTTATCAGGTAGAGCAACTGCCAGTCCCAAATTTGTACACGCACTGTCATTCATAGTATCACGGGTAAAGTAGTCCTTCACACCAGCAAAAAAGCTTCATAGTATCACGGGTAGGGTTGTCCTTAACCACAGCAAAAATGGTTCATAATATCATGGGCAGAGTTGTCCTTGACCTCAGCAAGAATGGTTCATAGTATCACGAGTAGAGCGATCCGTGACCACAGCAAGAATGGTTCATAGTATCACGAGTAGAGTTGTTCTTTACCACAGCCAGAATGGTTCATAGTATGACGGGTAGAGTTGTCCTTGACCACAGCAAGAATGGTTCATAGTATCACGGGTAGAGTTGTCCTTGACCACAGCCAGAATGGTTCATAGTATCACGGGTAGAGTTGTCCTTGACCACAGCTAGAATGGTTCATAGTATCACGGGTAAAGTTGTCCTTGACCACAGCTAGAATGGTTCATCGTATCACGGGTAAAGTTGTCCTTGACAACAGCAAGAATGGTTCATAGTATCACGGGTTGAGTTGTCCTTGACCACAGCTAGAATGGTTCATAGTATCACGGGTAAAGTTGTCCTTGACCACAGCTAGAATGGTTCATAGTATCACGGGTAAAGTTGTCCTTGACAACAGCAAGAATGGTTCATAGTATCACGGGTTGAGTTGTCCTTGACCACAGCTAGAATGGTTCACAGTATCACGGGTAGAGTTGTTCTTGACCAAAGCTAGAATGGTTCATATTATCACGGGTAGAGTTGTTCTTGACAACAGCTAGAGTGGTTCATAGTATCACGGGTAGAGTTGTCCTTAACCATGGCAAGAATGGTTCATAGTATCACAGAAAGAGTTGTCCTTGAACACAGCTAGAATGGTTCATAGTATCACGGGTAGAGTTGTCCTTGAACACAGCTAGAATGGTTCATAGTATCACAGGTAGAGTTGTCCTTGACCACAGATAGAATGGTTCATAGTATCACGGGTAGAGTTGTCCTTGACCACAGCTAGAATGGTTCATAGTATCACGGGTAAAGTTGTCCTTGAACACAGCTAGAATGGTTCATAGTATCACGGGTAGAGTTGTCCTTAACCATGGCAAGAATGGTTCATAGTATCACGGGTAAAGTTGTCCTTGAACACAGATAGCATGGTTCATAGTATGACGGGTAGAGTTGTCCTTGAACACAGCAAAAATGGTTAATAGTATCACGGGTAGAGTTGTCCTTGACCACAGTTAGAATGGTTCATAGTATCACGGGTAGAGTTGTCATTGAACACAGCTAGAACGGTTCATAGTATCACGGGTAGAGTTGTCCTTGACCACAGCTAGAATGGTTCATAGTATCACGGGTAGAGTTGTCCTTGAACACAGCTAGAATGGTTCATAGTATCACAGGTAGAGTTGTTCTTGACCACAGCTAGAATGGTTCATAGTATCACGGGTAGAGCTGTCCTTGACCACAGCTAGAATGGTTCATAGTATCACGGGTAAAGTTGTCCTTGAACACAGCTAGCATGGTTCATAGTATCACGGGTAGAGTTGTCCTTAACCATGGCAAGAATGGTTCATAGTATCACGGGTAGAGTTTTCCTTGACCACAGCAAAAATGGTTCATATTATGACGGGTAGAGTTGTCCTTGAACACAGCAAGAATGGTTCATAGTATCACGGGTAGAGTTGTCCTTGAACACAGCTAGCATGGTTCATAGTATGACGGGTAGAGTTGTCCTTGAACACAGCAAAAATGGTTAATAGTATCACGGGTAGAGTTGTCCTTGACCACAGCAAGAATGGTTCATAGTATCACGGGTAGAGTTGTCCTTGACCACAGCAAAAATGGTTCATAGTATCACGGAAAGAGTTGTCCTTGAACACAGTTAGAATGGTTCATAGTATCACGGGTAGAGTTGTTCTTGACCACAGCTAGAATGGTTCATAGTATCACGGGTAGAGTTGTCCTTGACCACAGCTAGAATGGTTCATAGTATCACGGGTAGAGTTGTCCTTGAACACAGCTAGAATGGTTCATAGTATCACAGGTAGAGTTGTTCTTGACCACAGCTAGAATGGTTCATAGTATCAAGGGTAGAGCTGTCCTTGACCACAGCTAGAATGGTTCATAGTATCACGGGTAAAGTTGTCCTTGAACACAGCTAGCATGGTTCATAGTATCACGGGTAGAGTTGTCCTTGAACACAGCAAAAATGGTTAATAGTATCACGGGTAGAGTTGTCCTTGACCACAGCAAGAATGGTTCATAGTATCACGGGTAGAGTTGTCCTTGACCACAGCAAAAATGGTTCATAGTATCACGGAAAGAGTTGTCCTTGAACACAGTTAGAATGGTTCATAGTATCACGGGTAGAGTTGTTCTTGACCACAGCTAGAATGGTTCATAGTATCACGGGTAGAGTTGTCCTTGACCACAGCTAGAATGGTTCATAGTATCACGGGTAGAGTTGTCCTTGAACACAGCTAGAATGGTTCATAGTATCACAGGTAGAGTTGTTCTTGACCACAGCTAGAATGGTTCATAGTATCACGGGTAGAGCTGTCCTTGACCACAGCTAGAATGGTTCATAGTATCACGGGTAAAGTTGTCCTTGAACACAGCTAGCATGGTTCATAGTATCACGGGTAGAGTTGTCCTTAACCATGGCAAGAATGGTTCATAGTATCACGGGTAGAGTTTTCCTTGACCACAGCAAAAATGGTTCATAGTATCACGGGTAGAGTTGTCCTTGACCACAGCAAGAATGGTTCATAGTATCACGGGTAGAGTTGTCCCAGACCACGGCAAGAATGGTTCAGCTCTTGATGACAATCACGATAGACAGACGACACCGGGAACATCAATCGATTATCATTGTCTGAAACACAGAAAACAACGAACTCACTTTATCTCAGACTGCAATATTTAAAGTTACTGTATCTCGATCTTCAATATAAAAAAAAAAAAAAAGTCACTTTATCCCAAACTGCAATATCAAAAAGTAATGTTGTCTCAGACTGCAATATTTAAAAAAAAATGTCACTTAATCTCAGAATGCATTATTTCAAAAAAGTCACCTTATGTCAGACTGTATTTTTTTTTTAAGTCACTTTATCTCAGACTGTATTATTTAAAAAAGTCACTTTATCTCAGACTGCAATATTAAAAAGTCACTTCATCTCGGACTGCAATATTTAAAGAAAAATCACTTTATCTCAGACTGCAATATTAAAAGTCACTTTATCTCAGACTGCAATATTTAAAAAGAAATGACATTTTATCAAAGACAGCAATAAAAAATTGGATCTTTATCACAGACAGCAATATAAAAATTGACACTTTATCACAGACTGGAATACAAAATTTGACACTTTATCACGTATTGCAATACAACAGTGCCATTTTAGTACAGACTGCACACCAAAAAAATGGTAACTTTATCACAGACTACAAAATTTTAAAATTTTGTAACTTTATCACATACTTCTATTTACAAAATAGTGTCTCTTGATCATGGATTGTAATATGAAAATTGTCACTTTATCATAGTCTGCAATGTTAAAACTCAATCACAGACTGCAGTTTATATCATGTCACTTAATCACAGGCTGTAATATAAAGACACACGCTGCGCAACAAGCAGAAGACAGGAGAAAAAAAAAAAAAAAACCTCTCTGTCACTTTGTGGCGTAAAGACAAATATATCAAACAAAAAGAGGAAAGACAAATATAAAAATTGTGCCTTTATCTTGTTTTTCTTATGTCCTATTGCTTATACCTTTGTGTAGATTGTGGGGTAGGAGCCTGTCCTACTACTAGTCGCGTCCACCAGGTGGCGGATGGTGGAAAGGCCTCTAGATATAGAGGTTAGCCATGAATATATTGAATAAGTGGCCGTGGACCAAAACAGGTGATGGTCATTGAGAGGAGGCGAGTTAGTTGGTAGAACAGCTAACTCTATAAAATACCTCAAAACTCTACGACATGGCCATCGGCGGGTAAGAGGCGCCATAACACTGCTGCCTTGCAGGGTAAGTCTCTTTAGACAAAGGCTATTGGAGTCAAACCATATACAAACCGACGGAAGGCATGGGGAAACCACCGCTGTACTATCCTAAGAAAATCATGACTCAAAATTATAGGAATTCAGATAACGACGTGAATGGGGATTCCGGTGGAATTAACTCGTCCGGTAGGGAGCATCATCTTCCACGGGTGATACCCGACCGTCATCCAGCTACTGTAGAAAAAGTAAATGGTAGAAACATCATGAACATTGGTACATGGAATGTCAGAACACTCGTACAAAACAGAAAGTTGGATAACATCAAGATGGAAATGAAAAGAATGAACATCAACACATTAGGAATTAGTGAAATGCGATGGCAAGGAGCAGGGGAAAAGTATTCAGATCAGTACATAATTATTTACTTGGGTGGGAAGGAATATAGTAAGGGAGTTGATTTTATTTTGGATCCAAGCAACTAAAAAACTGTGAAAGGATTTTGAACAATATCAGAAAGAGCATTATTAGTAAAACTTCATGGCAGACCGCTTGACATCAACTTAGTACAGATTTATGCCCCAACAGCAAATAATTCAGAGGAAGATATTGTCGCATTTCATGAGGAGTTAGACATGGCTGTTGATCAATGCAAAAATTGTGAAGTAACAATGGTACTTGGAGATTTCAAAGCGAAAATAGGAAGCGAAAAATTGTACAGAATAACGGGTGGCTATGGCCTAGGAGAAAAGAATGTGAGAGGTGACAGATTAATAGCATGGGCTGAGTCACGCAGCATGATAATAGTTAATACCTGGTTTAAACACCATCCTCGAAGATTGTGGACTTGGAAAAGTCCTGGTGATAATGTCCCCAATCAGATTGATTATATTTTGATTTCAAGAAGAATCCGGGGCACTTAGTTGGAGCAAAAACTAGACCAGGGGCAGACTGCTTTAGTGACCATGTTCCAATTGTAGGAAAAATTAGAATAAAACTAAAGAACATTAGAAAAACACCACAGAGCATCAAGTTAAATTTAGGAATTCTTAGAAC